TTAATATATATAATTATAATAATATAAAGATGTTATAATTTATTAAAGTTCATGACTACAAGATCTGTGAATTATTTAAAATAAGACACTTTTTTAATATTAATCTTATTAATACTCACAATATCCATATGAATATTTAAAATCTTAAAAAATATAAGAAAAAAAATATTTACTCTGCAATTTCTATGAGTTATTAATATGTGAAATTCTTTCACAAAAAAAAAGAGAGACTTGACTATATAAAGAAGAATGAGAGACTCGACTATTGTTAAATGAAACAAAATAAAGAACTATTGAAGAAAAAAATGAAAAATTAAATTTGAAATTAGAGTTAAAATTTTAATTTAGAAAAGAAAAGAAAATTCGAAATTGGAGTAGAAACCCCAATTTAAAAGGGAAATAGGACATAAGTTTAAAATTCCAATATGTTAAAAATAAAAATTTGGATGAATTTATATATATATATATATATAATTTTATTAGTCTATATTAATTATTTTAAATATACACATCATTAAAAAAAAAGTTTAATACCCTTAGTTCAAATGGTTAAAAATAATGGATTTACTATGTTATAGAAAAGAATAAATTCTTAATGAATTTATAGTAACAGATAAATAATACAATGGATATTTATTTGTTTTAAAAAAATATATTTCTAATTAGTTTCTATAAATTTAGATAATATATAACTAAGTTACCCGACATATAAAATTTTCTTCTATATATTTGGTATCCATAGCCATCAAGCCAATTGCCATTCACATGCATCCTCTTACGATCTCTCGATATATCACCGACTACATAATACTATCTTCCCCTCCCAAAGCTCACAAGAAAACCGCCTAGATCCCCACTTTTCTTTTTCTCTCTGTCTTCAATTCTCAACCTTATCTCCCCTAATCCATCGTCTCCAAAAATCAAGAATTGCATTCATGGCTCATCAGGAACTAGAAGACCCGAAGAAGATTCAATACCCACTCGACCCAAATGCATACAAGATCCTCCATGAAATTGGCGTGGGCGTCAGTGCCAAGGTTTACAAAGCCATTTGCTTGCCATTGGACTCAACTGTGGTTGCCATCAAGGCCATTGATCTTGATCGATCTCGAGCTGATCTCGACAACATTCGACGTGAAACCAAGACCATGTCCTTTCTCTCCCACCCCAATATCCTCAGTGCTCTCTGTTGTTTCACCGTTGATCGCCATCTTTGGGTTGTCATGCCCTTCATGTCCTCCGGTTCCCTCCAGTCCATTATTTCTTCTTCCTTCCCCGACGGTCTATCAGAGCAATGCATCGCAGTAGTCCTGAAAGAAGCCCTTAACGCGTTGAGTTATTTCCACAACCAGGGCTGCCTACACAGAGACATCAAGGCCGGTAACATTCTTGTGGACGGAAATGGGTCCGTCAAGCTCGCTGATTTCGGCGTCTCCGCCTCAATTTACGAGTCGGACTCTTCGTCCTCAGCCTTGTCGTCTTCGTCCATGGTATTCACTGATGTGACCGGGACGCCTTACTGGATGGCGCCTGAAGTTATACACTCGCACACTGGATACAGTTTCAAGGCGGACATTTGGTCTTTTGGCATAACAGCACTGGAATTAGCTCATGGACGACCTCCTCTGTCTCATTTGCCTCCTTCAAAGTCTTTGATCATCAACATAACCAAGCGGTTTCCTTTCTCGGATTACGCAAGGAGCAAGACTGACAAGAAGTTCTCAAAGGCTTTCAAGAGCATAGTGGCCTCGTGTCTTAATCAAGATCCCGCCAAGAGACCCACCGCAGATAAGCTCTTGAAGCATTCTTTCTTCAAGAACTGCAGAGGCGCAGATTTCCTAGTAAGAAACTTGCTGAGTGGATTGCCTAGCGTAGAAGAACGGTTCAAAGAGATTAAGGCCTTGTACAAAATTGGTGATCACCCAGAAGATGAGGGCGATTCACTGAGTCCAATCATCAAAGAAAGAAGAATTAGTGGTTGGAACTTCGATGAAGAAGGGTTCGAGCTCGACCCAGTATTTCCAACAGAGTCAAGGGACGATGACGTAGTGAAAAAGGTTCGTTTTGGGGGCGAGACAATCATCCAAGAAATGATTGAGGGAAGTGAGACGGTGGATGATTGGAAAGAGCCAGAAGGGATTTTATCAAGAGGTGTTGAGGTTGAGGAGGAAGGACGAAGCGAAAGAGAAATTAGTGGGAGTGAGGTTGGTGAGACTGAATTACGCACTGGTGTGGATGGAGAACTAATGGTGAGGCGTTTGACGGGACTGATAACAAGTTTGGAGGAGCAGAGACAGATGGTAGGAAGCATGATTGGAATGTTTGGGGGCGAAGTTATGAGCAGAGAGGAACAGCTTATGCAAGTACTTGAGAAGCTGAAGACGGAATTAGAGTTTGAGAGGGAGAGAAACTTTGCTTTGGAGATGGAACTAGAATTTCTCAAGATTCAGACGTCTGCTACAGCAAATGCATCAACCAGTAGTACTTGAACTTTGTTTTCCTTTTTCCTTTTCTAATTCAGTATGTGGATCATTGATGAAGAACAAGACTTCTAGTGGATCATCCGAAGGACAAAGAGATCATTTGAGTTGAGTGGATCGACAAGACTTCGATTACGTAGGAGTATATCAGATTAGAGATTCTCATTTTCATTTTTTCCATTTTCGGTGCTCTTCTATTCTAGTTGTTTTTAGCTGTGTGCGCATTTGGTGGGCCACTTTTGTGAACAATTGTGTTATGATTGGGCTTAAAATTGAGAGACCAGATTAAGAAGTTAACCATGGGCCACCTAGCTTTGTTCTTGGTCAGAAGCATGGGCCATTAGTTAGGCTTCTGGACTGAACCAGCTACTAAATAATCCCCCATCCGACCCAATATTTATAAAACTATTATTTTACTTTGAGTTATGTTTTCTTTCTTTTTTTTTTTTTTTTTTAAGATTGACTTTATTGAGATAAATGGGAAAAAAAAATTACTGAGACAGCAAAAACTAATTCTGTGAATAATAAAACAACTTCTTCCATAAAGTTACCTGTAAATTCACATGCAGTTCAATTACAAAAGAATAAAATTTTATTAAAAAATTATAAAAATTAAGAGAATATGAAATTTCAGGTTCAGTTGATAATAATTTAGTTTTATGGGAGAATGTATAATTAAATTTATAACCATTGTAAAAATTAAGAATAAACCATTAATTTTACTAAATGGATTCTGTGACAACCCGTATGCTCGAGATTAGTTGTCATCTCATCTTTTATTCTTATTTTCTTGGAATTTATTGTAAAACATTTTTATTCCAAAGTTGTATCTCATCTATGAATAAACTATTTCTTTTTCTCTACATGTTACTTCATCATACTACAGTCGTCTCCACTTTAGTATGGAATGCTCTGCATAAACCAACAAACAAAAAAATTTATATAGCATATTAAAAATAACATCCTAGAATCTGTAATGCTGCCTATCCTTATGTTTAGTGCCGTTACTCATATCCCCACAGCAGACCCATACGAAATCTGCATATCTACCCAGGAGTTTCCTGCACTCCGCAAATAAATCGCGATCAGACGGTCTTGATTAAAACTTGATGGACGGTTGAGATTAAAAAGGGAAGGGTATAAATAACCCCACCCACACCCCACCACAAACCCTAGCCGCCAGCCTCGCCAGAGAAGAAGAACCAGACGCCGGAGGAGCTGGCCACCGCCACCCGCCGCCACCTGCCGCTGCACCGGAGCATTTTTCGACCGCCAATTGAGGTAAATTTTCTCCCTCTGGCTCGTTTTTCGATACTAAATCCGCCTATAGTCAAACCAGAGCCAACCACTGGCCAATCGACCGGAAAACACTGCCGAAGTCCAGCGGCGCCGCCGCGACTTCTCTCTATTTTTTCCTCCAATGAGGCCCTTCTCGGTCTCCGTTCGATGCAATTTTTATACCACTGTGATCACCGTCCTTTTCTCTACAGGTTGACTGGAGCAAAACATCAAAACGCTGCGCCGGAGAAGCCGCCGCACCCGAGAGTACCGCCGCCGGTAAGTCTCAGTTTTTTGTAATTTTTTGGCCCACCGAGGGCCCTAGGGTTGTTTTATCGCAGGGACCAATGCAAGTTTGGCCGAATTTGACCGAAAACGGCCAACCCAAGGCGGATCACCACCGCAGGCGGCGGCGCCGTCGCCGGAGCACGGCGAAGCCGCCGTGCCGGAATTCCAATATTGGCCAAAAGAGGCCCTAGGTCTGATTTGGAATTTTTTGGGACACGTGTAGGTACCGGTAATGCGTTTCAGTTTTTCGGAGAAAATTTAAGGAATTTAGGGACAACCTATAGATGCACTGTAGAGCCGATTTCAGACCCCAAAACAAGTAAGGATCTCTCACCCTACCTCCTATCACAACATTAAAACTTAATAAATAATTAAACGGTATTTTATGACTTTATAGATATGTATAATTGATTGAGGTTGCCAATGGAGCCCGAATATGATACATTGTTGGTCAGTTGTTTTTTGATCTATTTTTCAGTATTAAATGCAATATGATATTTGATGTATTTATTTTATGGTCTCGTATGCATGAATCATGATTTTTTTTATTATGGTTTGTATTATGGTGAACCCGATACTGTATTGTTTTGTTTGGTGTCAATTACTGATTTACATGTTTGTGTATGATTGAATGATTGAGACCAAGGAAAATGGCAAAAAAGTTATATGAATTGATAAATGGATAATGTGGACAGCCTGACTAGATATCCTGGGAGATGGTGGACGGACCGGGTCCGTAGGGAACCCTACCAGGAACGTGGTCTCTCATACCGGACGGGGTATGGAGACCTTATGTGTTTTGGTGCCCATATCGGACGGGGTATGGGGACGACCCGTTTCACCCTCATACCGGACGGGGTATGGGGACGGCCTTGGAATCAGGTTATTAATGTTAATGGTTCACGTGTTGCGGGGACCCCCTATGCATCCCTATGGATACTAGTAGGCTGGTAAAAGAGGAAATTTATTGTCTGATTATTGAAGTGCAAAAGTATGATATGTGTTCTGTTACAAAGTCGATATGATTTTATGATGGTTATGATGTTATTGTTTTCATATGTTATTTTTACGAATCTCACCGAGGTAAGTGGACAGTAAAGGTTTTTATGTTAATAAATGAGTTTGTTATAAATTATGCTCCATTGGTTGTTTTTGTTTTCTACCGACCTTTACTCTTGTGACAGTGAGATAGTGTGATGTCTTTACTGGGCTAGTGTAGTTCATTCCTTATTTAACCATTTCAGATCAGGAAGACGGGGTTCCCGAGCCCATTCCGCAGGAAGACGGTGAGTTAGACGCCTAAAGACTTTATAGTTCTATTTATAGTTTTTGTTTCGAGTATCTTTTTTAATTAGCTTATTCTTTTATGTTTTGAGTACGTTTTTTGTTATTGTGTAAGGGATGTTAATCAAATTTTTTTATTACACTTCCGCATTTAAAATTTTTAATACATACATCTTCATTTAAATTTCAGAGCCGTTACAGATTCGACTCTATAAAGAAAAATGAGAGATTTAATGAAAAAGTATAGAAGAAGAAGAAAATGAAAGAACAAATTTGAAATTGGAGTTAAAACCCTAATTTAAAAGAGAAATATGACATGAACTTAAAATACCAGTAGGCTGAAAATAAAAATTTGAATGGAACTAAAATATAAAAAAAAAATTTATTAGTTTATAGTAATGAACTTAAATAGATAGGTAATAAAAAATTGAATGAATTTAATTCAAATGGGTAAAACATAATGGACTTATTAGGTTAAAGAAAAGAATGGATTCTTAATGAATTTATAATAACAAATAATAGTATAATATTTATTTATTTATTTAGTTTAAATATATATTATTAATTAATTTTCCTACATTTAGATAAAATTATATTTATTGGGCGCTTGTAGTTGTGACATTTTTTATAAAGATTTTTTTCAATCTCTTTTTTTTTTTTTAAAAAAAAAAAATTAATTAAATGAAAGATGGATGATGAACTTTTCGATAATGGACTGAATATATAGATAAATAACAAACAAATATATATATATATATATTTATATTACTAATTCACCCTGCGCATAAAGCTTTCTTCTATATAAATAATATATAACTAATTTTAATTGAATATATAATATATAACTAATTTGGCAGCCGTAGCCAATAAAGCCAATTGCCATTAACGGTCTTTCTATACATCACCGACTATATAATACTATCTTCCCCTCCCAACGCTCAAGAAAAAAAACCGCCTAGATCCCCACTTTTCTTTTTCTCTCTTCGTCTTCAATCTCCTCTAACCCACCTTCTCTGAAAGATCAAGAATTGCAGATATTGCTCATCGAGAAGTAGAAGAGCGCAAGAAGTCTGAATACCCACTAGCCAAATGCTTGCCATTGGACTCAACTGTGCTTGCCGTCAAGGCCATTGATCTCGATCGATCTCGAGCTGATCTCGACGACATTCCACGTGAAACCAGGACCATGTCCCTTCTCTCGCACCCCAATATCCTTAGTGCTCTCTGTTCTTTCACCGTTGATCGCCATCTTTGGGTTGTCATGCCCTTCATGTCCTCTGGTTCGCTCCACTCCATCATTTCATCTTCCTTCCCGGACGGTCTACCGGAGAAATGCATTGCAATAGTCCTGAAAGAAACCCTTAACGCATTGCGTCATTTGCACAACCAAGGCGACCTGCACAGAGACATCAAGGCCGGTAACATTCTTGTGGACGCAAATGGGTCCGTCAAGCTCGCTGGTTTCAGCGTCTCCGCTTCAATTTACGAGTCGGGCACTTCGTCCTTGGTCTTGCCTTCTTCGTCCATGGTATTCACTGATGTGGCCGGGATGCCATACTGGATTGCGCCTGAGGTTATACAAACTGGATACAGTTTCAAGGCTGACATTTGGTCTTTTGGCATAACGGCTCTGGAATTAGCTCATGGACGACCTCCTCTGTCTTCACAGTCTTTGCCCGTCAACATAAACAAGCGGTTTCCTTTCTGGGATCAAGCAAGGAACGCGACAGACAAGAAGTTCTCGAATGCTTTCAAGAAAATGGTGGCTTCGTGTCTTGATCAAGATCCCGAAAAGAGACCCACTGCAGATAAGCTCTTGAAGCATTCTTTCTTCAAGAACTGCAGAGGCGCAGGTTTTCTCGTGTGCAACTTGCTGAGTAAATTGCCTAGCGTCGAAGAACGGTTCCAAGAAATGAAGGCCATGTACCGAATTGGTGATTACCGAGAAGACGAGGACGATTCACTGAGTCCATCCATCAACGAAAGAAGAATAATTGGGTGGAATTTTAATAAAAAAGGGTTGGAGCTCGACCCAGTATTCGCAAAAGAGTCAAGGGACGATGAGGATTTCGTCCAAGAAAGGACTGAGGGAAGTGAGCCGGTGGATGATTTGAAGGTGCCGGAAAATATTGAGATTGAGGAGGAAGGAAGAAGCGAGAGAGCAGTTAGTGGGACTGAATTACGCATCGGTGTTAATAAAGAAATACTGATGAGGGGTTTAACGGGACTGATGGCAAGTTTGGAGGATCAGAGACAAATGTTAGAAAGCATGATAGGAAGCAGAATCAGAGAGGAACAGCTTACGCATCTACTTAATGTACTTTCCTCTCGATTAGAGAGGTTGAAGATTGAATTGGAGTTTGAGAAGGAAACAACCTTTACTTTGGAGATGGAAAAGGAATTTCTCGAGATTCAGATGTCTGCTACTGCAAATGAATCAACCAGTAGTACTTGAAACTTTTGTTTTTTCTTCGACAATCAAAATTAGTTTTTTCTTTTTCTAGTTCAGGATGTCGATCTTGGTTGATTAC